TGCTAAGCAGCGCACTTGATATCCAACGGTGACCCAAAACAGCAACATTTTTTAGTTTGACCTGATCTGGAAGGTCAATGACTGACCTGAGAAGGTAAAACTGGGTGTCATTGGATTTGTCTCTTCCCAAAGAATCTTTTTGGTCTCTACCGCGAAGCTCTATCTCCAACAGGAACGAAATGGCCCGGGGGTGGCAACCCCCCCCCCCCCCATGTGCGTTCTAGGATGGGAAAATGGCATGTGCGGGCGAGGGTTAACCCGCGCACCGACGGAGGTCTGCGCCAACTTCGCACCGACGGGGGGGGGGCGGATGACCGCCCCCCCCCCTGAGATCTCGAGAACGAAGCAAGATAGCGACAAGCGGTAAACGGCATCGGATACGCACGGCCAAGATCTACAATTTTTACAAAGGTCATTTTCAGGTCAGGTCAAAGATGACGTCACAGGGGTCGAAAAAGTCAAAATGGCGGCGCTAGATATGGAGAGAGTTTTTCTCGAATAACTTTCGAATTAGTCAAGATAGGAACAAACTAAGGGCATCATCGTGATCCTCTCGTCAATCCGCATCGAATGATATATATGTTGACCTCGAAAGGTCAAGGTCAAAGGTTGACCTCAGGTCACGTGACCTCGAGGTCATCATGCATATCATTCGATGCGTCTTGACGAGGTGAACACAATGAGACCATCCACGCGTCTGTATCTTGTTCCTGTACGGAGTTATTGGCCAAAAACCTTTGGTGACCTTTGATGACGTCACATGACCTCACAGCTGCCCAACAGCAAAACAGACCTCAAGGTAGTGAAGGTTGATCGTATATGAAGTCATGTATGGTATATGGGGCCATTCCGACCCGTTTTAGTGGTAAAAACAGGGAGTTGATTTTTCCCCCATTGACTTATAATGGGGAGGTCGCGAAATTGACCTGACCTTAGGTCACCGATATCAAAATTCCGAGATATACTAATTGTAGCTACTAATGACCTAATAATATCCTGCGACTTTCAAAGTCCTCCGACATCTACTGTAGCTCTGGCACGGTGACAAAGTTGCAAAAAAGTGACTTGAGGTTGGGTCATTCAAAGTGACCTGGTGACCTGACCTTAAAAGGTAGGAGGTTCAAACTTGCACACCATGTGTAAAATTGATGAGGTTATAGCCATACCAAATTTCGCGGCGCTACGCGCCGCGGTTTTCCCGCTATTCGCGAAAAACCTCAGGGGGGGGGCGGATATCCGCCCCCCGTCGGTGCGTGGGTTAAGTTTGGCATATCTAGTGCAGATAGTTCTATAGCATATATTTCAGTTTTAATTTTGAATGTTGTTGGTATTTTCGGGGTGTTATACTTCTATAGTTTTGATGAACAAAATCAATTTTTGTTTGGAAATAAAAGGTAGCAGTTTGGTAGCGCCGTTTATTTTACATCTTTTTAATCTTGAATATTTTTCGTTATGTTCAAAACTGTGAGCGTGACAGCTCTTCCCGCTAAACCTTTTATTGGGTCGAAAATGGCAGAACATGACATCCCTCTGACGTCATTTGTGACTAACCTTTCATAAGAGCTTAGTGTCCTAAAATTGCATTTTTGCTTGGGTGTCAGATGGGAAAATTGCTGACCAAAAAAAGGATGAGAGTGAAAAATTGTCGGTCAGGTAAAGCCTAAAAAGAGTGGGAAAATGATCAAAAACATTAATCTATCTACAATTGTGACAGATGCAAAACAACCATTCACGCCATTACCCCTTCTCGGTGGAATTGGGAGTGGAAATTGGGCTTGAAAACTGGAGGTGAGAGTAAGAAGATTTTCATTTGGATGTCGTTTCCCACCCACATCTACAAATTTTGGGACACTGTAAGAGCTCTGGAAAAATTTGGTCAAAAGGTGTAAAAATGATGCCCGGAGGGGTCTTGAAAGTTTGGTGGCGACATTTGCTATAATTTAGAAGATATCGACTGAAAGGGAGAGATGGGGCCGTTTTGCGCCGCCCTCCCCCCCCCCCCTCAACTGGGCTTTCAGTTGCTGCTCTCACAGAACTCTTGATTATATTACAACGTAGTGGAATTGCAAGTGGCAATATAAGCTTCCTGCCAGTGCCGGACCAGAGTTTAAACATGCAGGCTGAATTTTAACCCGGCACCGCCTGGGCTATTTCCGTATCCACGACAGCCTGGGGGGGGGGGTCGGATCCGACCCCCCCCCCTGTCATCTCGAGAACCAATGGTCGTATCGAGCCCCGCGAGGCGGCGTTCGAAAGGTCTCTACGAGACCTTCCCAAAGCACTCTTAAGATTTTAAGATTGAGGTCAACTTTCGGGTCAAGGTCAGGTCAAAGGTCAAATTCAGGGGTTTTGCATGATTAGGTTTACGGACAGCGGAATCGATAGCTGCTGCTCGAAACTCACCAACAATGACCTCAAAGGCCTAGTGAAGGTACCATGTGCGTATAGGGGTCATACTAAGTACGGGTCAAGGTCAGATCAGGTCACGAAAGGTCACGGTTTTCAATTTCTGGTACATGGGCGTGCGACACATGTTTTATGGCTTATTTTTCACGCCGAACCCGATGGTAATGGTTATATGTGACCCTAAGTCACTGTGCTGGTGATAAGTGTGCATTGAAAGCATAAAAAATCGTTAATACTATACGAGGGCTGAGAAAAAAGGTCAATTTTTCAACTTTTTATTTTTGACATAAAAATGCACTTTTCTAGACGAGCTTTGTCCCAGGAATCTAGTGGTGCCATTTGTTTTCACATGCGATGTTCAAAAGTGCCTCTAATTCACGAAAATGCTTATGACGTCACCATGCCCTATGCATGTTGGAGCTATTTTTTACAATTTGGGGGTCAAAAATCAAGATAGAAAGTTGAAATTTGGGGCATCTAATGTTCTAATAGAGCTCTACAACATATAATCCGTTTTTTTTGGAAATTCCCAAAATTTTGGATTTTATTAGCTGTTTCCAAAAAATATAGTTTTTTGAATTTTTAGGGGTGAAAAACGCATTTTATGGAAAATCCGAGATAGCCATTTTAAAAGAACTCGTTGAGCTGCGTCTTTTCATGTCCTCAATTTGCAATTTGCTTAAAACCCTGATTTTTGGCGATTTTTTACACATTTACCACTTTTTGACTAAAAAAGCCATGTAGTTACATCACTAAAATCGATATATCTCAAAAAATTTTGGATTTTTTTCTTAAAAATTGCACAGGAGACGTCAAATTGATGGGGGAGAAGGTATGCCAAGTTTCAAGTAGATAGCGAAAGTGGTTCATGAGTTATTCAAGAAAAACGGAGGGGGGGGGGTCGGATCCGACCCCCCAGGCGGTCGCGGGTTAACATTTAACTTTTGAATTTTTAGGCTGTTGAGCTTTTTAGAAAATGTATGAACTGTTCAGCTCCTTTGTTGGTCCATCACAGCGGGCTTGTATGTCATTTGTCAACCAAAATCGAATAAAAAACTTGTTATTCGGTCTGGCTACCTCGCCAACTACCCGGCAGTTGCTGGGGTATTTCGCCACCCACCGTTTGCTGGGGGGGGGGGGCGTTAAACGCCCCCAGCCGATAACTCGAGAACCAATAGGCGCAGCGAAACGCACGAGGCGGCAGACAAAAGAACGCGACGAGACGCTTCAGATGAGTACTTTAAAGTTGAATTTTGAGGTCACAGGTCGGGTCAAGGTCAGGTCAAACACCTGAAATCGGGCTTTCAGTAGCATGGACTTCAGGACTTAGCAATTGGCGCCTTTCGTCATAAACTCTGTCAAAACGGTGCACAATCCATCATATAAGGCCTACGAGAGTGTCAGCTCCATGTAAAGGTCAGTCAAGCATAGGTCAGGGTAAAGGTCAGGTCAACCGGGTAGGCAAATATCCCCGAAAATCAAAACTGATATTCGCAGCCTGTGACACATGTTTTATGGGTAATTTGAGGCGTGGAACACGATGGTGACATTCATTTTATCATATGTGTACGTGTTTGGCTCAAAAAGCTAAATTTAAAAATGCATGTATCATGGTGGTGAAGTAGTCACGAGAAATTGCCGAGATTCAGTTCAAGATTTTGGAAAATTCGGAAAATAATCAATAATCGAAGATAGCCATTTGATTGTTCATGGTATTGGCAGTCTAATGGCGTTTACGGCATGTCTGTATGTCTATTCTGTGATTTTATATGATTTTTTGAACATATGCCGTTTTTGGTCGAAAACTCAGAAATCATGACGTCACTAAAACCTCGATATCTCAAAAAATTTCCGATCGATTTTTTTGAAACTTTGTCACAATAAACTTCAATCAATTCTCTACAGGTACCCAAAATTTGGCGCGCCTGCGGCGCGCCGTTTTTATGCTATGGCCCGGCCAAAAAGTGGGGGCGTTTAACGCCCCCCCCCCAGCAACTCGCAGGTTAACTGGCTCGTTTAGTAGCTTTTGATTCGGCACTGCCCACGTTGTTTGTCTAGCTTTTCATGTCATAGACACTGTCTATGACACGAGAAGAGGCTGCTGACATCGTTTGTCGCGGTTGGATAATACCAATCCACGTCCCAGTGCAGTGGCTGCTCGATCGCACTTTCCCTGGCCCAGCTCTCCCACCAGGCTAGAATTTGCCCGGCACAGCCGTCGCCTCAGTGCCTCGGGCGGTGACCCGTTCAAAGGAGCTCACAATTCGTATGGTGCCGTGGCTCTCAAACCAATACAGAACAGTGAACGCAAAGGCTCACTTTCCATGTAAGGCGAACAGCTGATTCTGACGGCCGGGTTTCATTTATGCTAAGGCGCCCAATTACAGCACTGCATTTCAGTTAGTGTCGGGCGCAAAAGCTACTATGCTCCGCCTCCGCCCCTCCATTACGTGACCCTGCCCTCACGTGGCCTCAGTCACGTGGTGTTTCCACTTCTTGGCGCATGGCGGCGCTAGTCTCGCAGGGGCGGTGGTAGCCTGCTCCCCCGCCGTCCGGGGGTGATGGGTAGCAACTGCTGGTGACTACATACTCACTGTTCCGGTGCAGTTGACCGTCACCGTTCCTGGGCCAATCTCCCTCATGTTTGTCTGTCGCAAAAACAAAACCAGACACGTCTCAACACGTTGTGATGCGCTTGTCACAAGTTCACACATGCGATGCGTTTTCATATTGTGAAATGCCTTCTGAGCCAATATCGTTAGAGCGTGTGTCGGGATGATCTATAACCGTCGAAGCACTTGGCTAAATTGAGCACACATTAGATAGATACCTTCGTCACTCGCATAAAAAATGTGACCCAAAACTGTGATGAGCACTGCCTCGGTTCAATCGCGGTGATGAAAACCACCCGCGCCATCGGCCACCTCGCCGGGTAGTCGCTGCCTCCTTATCGGGTAGTCCTTATTACCATATACCGGGTAGCCATTCCCACCCTACCGGGTAGTCGGTCCCATCCCACCGGGTAGTCATTCCCACCCTACCGGGTAGTCCTTACCACCTTACCGGGTAGTCCTTGACGCCGACCAGGCTCGGTTTCGGGGTGAGGTTGATGCCGCCGCTGCTGTTCAGGGACACGGTAAAGTACTCGGATATGTCCAGCAGATCGGTCGTCTCCTCACCCGACAGGGAAACACCTGAAAATAGTGCACCGTATTCATATCGCGCACTGCTCGCGGACAGGGAAACACTCCTCACCCGACAGGGAAACACCTGAAAATAGTGCACTGTAGTCATATCGCGCACTGCTCGCGGACAGGGAAACACTCCTCACCAGACAGGGAAACACCTGAAAATAGTGCACCGCATTCATATCGCGCACTGCTCGCGGTACTAGGACTGTGGAAGTATCGTCGATAAGTAACAGCCGTTTTCAGGACGGTCTATCCAAAGAATGAAACTAATTCTCACCAAATCTGCACCTAGTCTCTTTGATAACAAATATCTTTATATAATGAATTTATGTCAGTGTTTTAACCCGCACTCCAGTGGCGGTCTCAGCCAACTTCGCCCTAGTGGGGGGTGGGGGGGATATGTTACCACTCACATCTAACTCAAAAACTGAGAGGGCTAGAATGACGTGGTAAAAAGCAGTCGATAGCTCTAAATGCGTACGTTTGAAAGTGTCGGTCATTTTTCATCTAAGAGCAGTATTGGGGTCACTGGAGGTCATCAAAGGCCAAAATTTACCAAATGTCATTATATTTTTTCAGAAAACATGCATTTATCTCAGGAACTATGATAGCTAGAAAAACGCACGGAAAAGCAATCGATAGCTTTTGAACTCTTCTTTTGATAAGGTTACTATCAAAATTGACCTCAGGTCAACGGTTTAGCCACCAGAGGGCAAAAACTGCAAAAATAGCTGTTTTTACGAAAAGTGTTTTTCGACAATAACTTTCGACTAAAAAAGCCACGACATTTCTATTGCCAGAATCGTGTTCCTCTCGCAGAGACGCGGAAATATAATATGACCTTGAAACTTTGAAAGGTCAACTTGAAAATTTGACCTCAGGTCAAGGTCATGACCTGACCGGAAAAGGTCATGTTGCATATTAGTCGATGCGTCTCAACAAGACAAAGTCAATGAGGCCATCCCCAGCGTTCCATCTCTTTCCAGTTTCCAATTGCGAGTTATTGGCAAAAATCTGTTTGTAGCCTCAACTGACCTCGGATGACCTTTCTAGAGGCTATCAGCAAAAAAGACACCTTGGTCGTCACGGGTGGTCCAAATCACTGTGATTCTGAAATATTTGGACTGTTCCTATGCGCAAACACAGATCTAGAGGCATTTTCATTTTTCTCCATTGACTTGTAATGGAAAGGTCACGCCACTGGCCTGACCTTAGGTCACGGATATAACAAATCCGAGATATAGGGGAGAGTGGGGCAATGGCGGACGGTGGGTAATGCCGGCCACCCATCTCTAGTGAGTACTTTGTCCATCACTAATCAGCTGATGTTGTTTACATTTCAGTTGAGCGCCATTCTAGCACGTGGTGCAAGTTTGTCACGGTAGCTCTATTATTTTCATTTTTATAGCGTTAAATGTGTTTTTCGTATCTGATTTTTAATTTTTGTTGCATCTATTTGCTGACTGTGAAATGTGTTAACGCATTTTCAGAAGTGCTGCTTTGCAATGACCTTCAATTAAGCCTTTCTTAGGCGACTGCTGGATGTGAGGCGTTTGCGGCGCAATGCCTTTGACTGCTGCCTGCTTTCTTAAAATAAAGCTGACCTCGGGGTAATACCGGACACGTGTCCGGAATGACTCTACGCGGTTTTGTTTGCGACTTCTGTCGTTACAGCTCAACGTTTCGGGTTGCTGTGTTTACGGCTGTGGTAGTTTGCTTGCTGTGTTTACGGTTGTGTTAGTTTGCTGCTCTGTTGGCGCCGCGCTGTTGTGTTGCAGCGAGTGCAGTGTTGTGTTGCAGTACAGTATACTGTTAACTGCTGAATACAGTTGTCGTTTCTTAATTCTCACTTAAATTTCCATCGAAAGAACGGTTTAAGGATGAATACCAGGTACGATATTTCGACTTTTGTGCTATTGCACTTAGTGGCCGGCATTACCCCTCGCTTTTTTGCACCTCCATTTTTCACCACATTTTCGCGTAGGCTCTGAATCTGTCATCAGTGATCTGAGATACTAAAACTGGGTGCTATCTGAAAGCCTATTCCTTTGGCTATAACCTCAGTTAAAATCACCATAAAATAGCTTCAAATAGCTAAGCTATTGAGCAAAATGCTTATGGTGTCGCCATTGCCCCACTCTCCCCTACAAATTATAGGCGCCCATAACATCATGCAATCCACCAAGTTTAAAACCTCTGACAAACACTGCAGGCTGGACATGACTGCAAACTTGTTTAGGCTTGGTCAGTTAACTTGACCTGGTCACCTGACCTGACATGACCTGGGGTCAAAAATTTCACATATTGTCCAAAATTGATGTGCCCCCTCCCCAATGGGGCGAAGGTTAAGCAAATTCAGGATTCGTAGGTTTTACTGGGGACGGTCCCCAGTATCCTTGAAGTTACTGGGGACCGGTCCTCAGTGTCCCCAGTGGTGGTTACGCGCCTGACTGACTGGTACTGACTGACTGGTACTGACTGACTGGTACTGACTGGCACTGACTGGCACTGACCGGTACTGACTGACTGGCACTGACTGGTACTGACTGACTGGTACTGACTGACTGGTACTGACTGACGGGTACTGACTGGTACTGACTGGTACTGACTGACTGGTACTGACTGACTGGTACTGACTGGTACTGACTGACTGGTACTGACTGACTGACTGGTACTGACTGACTGGTACTGACTGACTGGGACTGACTTACTGGTACTGACTGGTACTGACTGACTGGTACTGACTGACGGGTAATGACTGGTACTGACTGGTACTGACTGGTACTGACTGGTACTGACTGGTACTGACTGGCACTGACTGGCACTGACCGGTACTGACTGACTGGCATTGACTGGCACTGACCGGTACTGACTGACTGGTACTGACTGGTACTGACTGACTGGTACTGACTGGTACTGACTGACTGGTACTGACTGGTACTGACTGGTACTGACTGGTACTGACTGACTGGTACTGACTGACTGGTACTGACTGACTGGTACTGACTGACTGGTACTGACTGGTACTGACTGACTGGTACTGACTGACTGGTACTGACTGACTGGTACTGACTGACTGGTACTGACTGACTGGTACTGACTGGTACTGACTGACTGGTACTGACTGGTACTGACTGACTGGCACTGACTGGTACTGACTGACTGGGTTTGACTTACTGGTACTGACTGGTACTGACTGGTACTGACTGACTGGTACTGACTGGTACTGACTGACTGGTACTGACTTGCTGGTACTGACTGACTGGTACTGACTGACTGGTACTGACTGACCGGTACTGACTTGCTGGTACTGACTGACTGGTACTGACTGACTGGTACTGACTGACTGGTACTGACTGACTGGTACTGACTTGCTGGTACTGACTGACTGGTACTGACTGACTGGTACTGACTGGTACTGACTGACTTGTACTGACTGACTGACTGGTACTGACTGGTACTGACTGACTTGTACTGACTGACTGGTACTGACTGACTGGTACTGACTGGTACTGACTGACTTGTACTGACTGACTGGTACTGACTGACTGGTACTGACTGACTGGTACTGACTGGTACTGACTGACTGGTACTGACTGGTACTGACTGGTACTGACTGACTGGTACTGACTGACTGGTACTGACTGACTGGTACTGACTGACTGGTACTTACTGGTACTGACTGGTACTGACTGACTGGTACTGACTGGTACTGACTGACTGGTACTGACTGGTACTGACTGACTGGTACTGACTGACTGGTACTGACTTGCTGGTACTGACTGACTGGTACTGACTGACTGGTACTGACTGACTGGTACTGACTGACTGGTACTAACTTGCTGGTACTGACTGACTGGTACTGACTGACTGGTACTGACTGGTACTGACTGACTTGTACTGACTGACTGGTACTGACTGACTGGTACTGACTGACTGGTACTGACTGACTGGTACTGACTGACTGGTACTGACTGGTACTGACTGACTGGAACTGACTGGTACTGACTGGTACTGACTGACTGGTACTGACTGGTACTGACTGACTGGTACTGACTGACTGGTACTGACTGGCTGGTACTGACTGACTGGTACTGACTGGTACTGACTGACTGGTACTGACTGGTACTGACTGACTGGTACTGACTGACTGGTACTGACTGACTGGTACTGACTGACTGGTACTGACTGACTGGTACTGACTGACTGGTACTGACTGACTGGTACTGACTTGCTGGTACTGACTGACTGGTACTGACTGACTGGTACTGACTGGTACTGACTGACTTGTACTGACTGACTGGTACTGACTGACTGGTACTGACTGACTGGTACTGACTGGTACTGACTGACTGGAACTGACTGGTACTGACTGGTACTGACTGACTGGTACTGACTGACTGGTACTGACTGGTACTGACCTACTGGAACTGACTGGTGCTGACTGACTGATACCGACTGGTACTGACTGGTACTGACTGGTACTGACTGACTGGTACTGACTGACTGGTACTGACTGACTGGTACTGACTGGTACTGACTGACTGGTACTGACTGACTGGTACTGACTGACTGGTACTGACTGACTGGTACTGACTGGCTGGTACTGACTGACTGGTACTGACTGGTACTGACTGACTGGTACTGACTGGTACTGACTGACTGGTACTGACTGACTGGTACTGACTGACTGGTACTGACTGACTGGTACTGACTTGCTGGTACTGACTGACTGGTACTGACTGACTGGTACTGACTGGTACTGACTGACTTGTACTGACTGACTGGTACTGACTGACTGGTACTGACTGGTACTGACTGACTGGAACTGACTGGTACTGACTGGTACTGACTGACTGGTACTGACTGACTGACTGGTACTGACTGACTGACTGGTACTGACTGACTGACTGGTACTGACTGGTACTGACTGACTGGTACTGACTGACTGGTACTGACTGACTGGTACTGACGGGTACTGACTGACTGGTACTGACTGACTGGTACTGACTGACTGGTACTGACTGGTACTGACTGACTGGTACTGACGGGTACTGACTGACCGGTACTGACTGGTACTGGTACTGACTGGCTGGTACTGACTGGCTGGTACTGACTGACTGGTACTGACGGGTACTGACTGACTGGTACTGACTGACTGGTACTGACTGGTACTGACTGACTTGTACTGACTGACTGGTACTGACTGACTGGTACTGACGGGTACTGACTGACTGGTACTGACTGACTGGTACTGACTGACTGGTACTGACTGACTGGTACTGACTGACTGGTACTGACTGGTACTGACTGACTGACTGGTACTGACTGGTACTGACTGACTGGTACTGACGGGTACTGACTGGTACTGACTGGTGGCGGACGACGCTGAGCCGATGTTATGCGAGTCGTTGGTGTTTTCGAAGAGGTTGTTCCACCGTCCATCCCAGTCGTCCACGCACGCCGCCGACGCTGAAAAACACGAGCAGCGACTCAGAGACTCACCACATGTGCTGAGAGACGCCGGGGAGTCAGAGTCAGGCAGTCGGGAGTCAGAGTCACACAGACGGCGAGTCAGGTCAGAGTCACATATCGCCGCTGGAAAACACGAGCGGTGACTCAGAGACACACCACATGTGCTGAGAGACGCCGGGGAGTCAGAGTCAGGCAGTCGGGAGTCAGAGTCACACAGACGGCGAGTCAGGTCAGAGTCACATATCGCCGCTGGAAAACACGAGCGGTGACTCAGAGACACACCACATGTGCTGAGAGACGCCGGGGAGTCAGAGTCAGGCAGTCGGGAGTCAGAGTCACACAGACAGGGAGTCAGGTCAGAGTCACATATCGCCGCTGGAAAACACGAGCGGTGACTCAGAGACACACCACATGTGCTGAGAGACGCCGGGGAGTCAGAGTCAGGCAGTCGGGAGTCAGAGTCACACAGACGGCGAGTCAGGTCAGAGTCACATATCGCCGCTGGAAAACACGAGCGGTGACTCAGAGACTCACCACATGTGCTGAGAGACGCCGGGGAGTCAGAGTCAGGCAGTCGGGAGTCAGAGTCAGAGTCACATATCGCCGCTGGAAAACACGAGCGGTGACTCAGAGACACACCACATGTGCTGAGAGACGCCGGGGAGTCAGAGTCAGGCAGTCGGGACTCGGGAGTCAGAGTCACACAGACGGGGAGTCAGGTCAGAGTCACATATCGCCGCTGGAAAACACGAGCGGTGACTCAGAGACACACCACATGTGCTGAGAGACGCCGGGGAGTCAGAGTCAGGCAGTCGAGAGTCAGAGTCACACAGACGGGGAGTCAGGTCAGAGTCACATATCGCCGATGGAAAACACGAGCGAAAGTCAGAGTGACACAGCTGGCGCTAATAGAAGCCGGCGGAGTAGGAGTCAAGAGCCGCGGCCAGGGAAAGGCCAGCGGAATGGCAGTCAAACGGCTGTACAACAACTCGCTCGGTAGGGCAGAATGTAACACTCACACCAATGTTCCCGACCAAATGGTAGAAAGTGCTCGAAACCAACTCAACATAACACCCAACCCCATCTCAATGTAACACTCAACCCCAACTCAATGTAACTCTCAATCCCAACTCAATGTAACGCTCAGCCCCAACTCAAGGTATCACTCAGCCCCAACTCAAGGTGACACTCAACCCCAGCTTGCCCGTATGGGGGGGGGGGTCGAACGGACCCCCTCCGATTTTCGCGAATAACTCGCGTAAAAAGCGGCCGATCGCAACGAAACTTTCAATACCCTCGATTTGATCAATTTTACAACTACCCTAATACCCTAACAATTCAATGAGCCTGACCAAAGTGACCTTTGACCTGTGACCTACTTTCCGAGACCATGTTTGGCTTGAATCGCGATTCGGCGTATGTCGGCTCGCATTAGCCGCGCGTTTGCAAGCTTTTCGTGGTTTCAAACCGCAAACGTTCAAACATGTGATTTGATGTTGCTCCCATGCATTAGTGTGGGTATCGAGGTCACCTGAAGGTCAGGTCAGATCATTGACCTTAAGTGACCTCGGTTCACTTTTTTCGAGTTTTACATGTTTCTAGGCTAGTTTTTGGAGCTAAATTCGAATTTAGAAACCATTTGAACATTTACGAAGTAGTTATGGTGCCTTCGTAACATGTTATGAAGCTGTCAGAGGCAGTTGACACCTACTACGAATACCCGTCACGACCCCAACTGGTTGACCTGACCTGACCTGACCCGACCTGTTCTAAATGCTTAAAAACATCATCTGTGATCAAAACTAACACGATATTCGTAATCGGTACCCCAAGAAACCCCATGGCAGCCACACTTTATGACTTTCTAACAGGTTCCGATTTTCCCGACTTTTGGGTCATTGACCTTACCTGGAAGGTCAACCAATGACCTAGGACCTTAACCGGTGCATGACGGGGGGGGGGTTCTACAGAGTCCCTCGGGTTTTTCGGCAATAGCTTCTAAACCGTTTGACTGATTAACACGAAACTTGCGGTACCCTCAGCGGCATCAGTTTGACACATGGTGTCAAAATTTCAACTTTTACCTAGCATTTTTCGGCCGGAAATGACGTCAGAGTGACGTCATGTCGGCCGATTTTGATGCGAATATTGAATTACGGCAAACGCTCTCAAGAGCTCAGTTTTAAAGCTAGATCCAATTTCTTTCCATGAGTGGACTAAAATGCAAGTAGCTTTCAAACTGCTTTCTCGAATTTTCAAAATTTGGAAAATTTTGAAATATATGCATTTCCAATAACAAACAATTTATTTTCTTTATTTAAAAAACAGGTTTTTTGCAAAAAAAAAAAACGGAATATATGTGATAGAACACACACTGATAAACTACTCTAGCAAGTTTTACCCCGATATCTTAAAAAAAAATACTCAAGTTATTTGCAGTATCGTCAAAACTTTACAATTAAATATTTTTCAAGACTATTTCTTCAGTGCGTTTTTGAAATCGCACAGCAATATAAGTGACATCATCGTGTTCCTCAGCTCAAACGGCATCTGACAGGCATCTTTTTCTTGAAAATTTCATTTTCAAAATTTGACCTTTTCTGACCTGAAAGTGTCCTGACCTCCGGTAAACTCAGCTGAAAATGAACTCAAATGGCACAAACGAGATGTTTCCCGCGAAATCTGTTAGTAAAATTGGCCACAAAACATGAGTCACGTGACAGATAAATAACATACAATTTTCGTGACCTAGGATGACCTGGCCTTGACCTGAAAAAAAATCGAAGTAAAAGTTCTGTACCATCATAGTATCCAAGGCCCTAAATACCTAATTTCTACTAAACCTACCAGAATATAGTTTCACGCTTGGGTCTTTTAACCCGCGAGTTGCTGGGGGGGGGGGCGTTAAACGCCCCCACTTTTTTCGCCGGGCCATAGCATAAAAACAGCGCCCCGCAGGCGCGCCAAATTTTGGGTACCTGTAGGGAATTGATTGAAGTTTATTGTGACAAAGTTTCAAAAAAATCGGTCGGAAAATTTTTGAGATATCGAGGTTTTAGTGACGTCATAATTTCTGAGTTTTCGATCAAAAAACGGCATATGTTCAAAAAATCATATAAAATCACAGAATAGACATACAGACATGCCGTAAACGCCATTAGCCTGCCAATACCATGATCAATCAAATGGCTATCTTCGATTATTGATTATAGTTCGTTTTTCTTAAGTTTGCCCCTCACTGTAAACGTCTCTTTGAACACAGCACGAGAATTGCTAGCCGAATTACTGAAAAAACTGGTTAGCGCACATTGTATTGTAGATATGAATAATATTTTCAAAAATAAGTTTTGAACACCGACGATTTGACGTTATGTTAAGCGCCGTGCAATTTATTTATTAGTTCAGACATAATTCCTGAGGAATCGTCTATCCCTGTGGACCTGTAGGTATTGGCAAATACGATTTACGAGTCTGTGAAATAGTAAATAAATTTGATGAAATTGATCGTCTGTGAAATCTTGTCAAATCAGTGTGCGCCAACCAGTTTTCTCAGTAATTCAGCTAGCAATTCTCGTGCTATGTTCAAAAAGACGTTTACAGTGAGGGGCAAACTTAAGAAAAACGAACTATATCGTTCCGTATTTTCCATTATCTTGAACTGAATCTTGGCAATTTTTCGTGACAACTTCACGACCATGATACATGAATTTCTTAAATTGAACTTTTTGAGCCAAACACGTACACATATGATAAAATGAATGTTACCATCGTGTTCTACGCCCCAAATTACCTATACAACATGTGTCACAGGCTGCGAATATCAGTTTTGATTTTCGGGGATATTTGCATACCCGGTTGACCTGACCTTGACCCTGACCTATGCTTGACTGACCCCTACATGGAGCTGACACTCTTGTAGGCCTTATAAGATGGATTGTGCACCGTTTTCACAGAGTTTATGGCGAGAGGCGCCCACTGCGAAGTCCTGAAGTCCATGCTACTGAAAGCCCGATTTCAGGTGTTTGACCTGACCTTGACCCGACCTGTGACCTCAAAATTCAACTTTAAAGTACTCATCTGAAGCGTCTCGTCGCGCTCTTTCGTTTGCCGCCTCGTGCGTTTCGCTGCGCCTATTGGTTCTCGAGTTATCGGCTGGGGGCGTTTAACGCCCCCCCCCCCCCCAGCAAACGGTGGGTGGCGAAATACCCCAACAACTGCCGGGTTAATAACTATTCAATCAAAACTTCTGTATTTTTTCCTCGTCATCATTAAAAAGCAATTTTATAAATTGACTTTCAATTTGCTTGCCTTTTACTGGCAAAATAACTCTAGTATTGGGTCAACATAGTTGTGTAGCAGTAGGAACCATATCTGGCAAAACCCCAATGCCTACATACAGCAGAAAAGCAGCCACCAGGTGTCGCCACAGTCGCCACTTGGTCGCCACACAGATGTCGCGCGCGTCGCCAATCGCCACACTACCGATTTCCATAAGGACGCATATGTACGGATAGGGGAAGTTGGGGCAATGCCGGAGTTGGGGCAAAGCCGAAATTAGAGATATTTCGAAAACCGTAAGACATGGATGCCACCTGTCAGTGATGCTCTGAAGCTTAAGTGACTACAATTATCGCATGTTTGTTACGAGTCGTCATTCGATAGGCGTTATCACAAGTGTATTCGCGGCCATTGGGGCGACGTAAGAAAAGAAGAAAACAACTGGCCCCAAGAACTTTAAATTATCAGTTAGCATGCACCTTTTCCTTGATCTGTAGAGAATTTACCATTAATTGCTAGAGAAAATTGCATTTAAAATCCTCCATCTATGTTTTTTTTCATCGTTTGCACAATATGTTCTTTTATTTAGCTAGAAACACTTATAAGAAATAGTTCCTGCATCATCAAGAACAATAGGGAAGGCTTGAAGTGAATACAATAATCTAAACGGTGTTGTAATCTATGTGAAGACACTTCTAAAATTGTCTGTAGAAATATTGAAGGCAAAAGTTCAACTTTTTCACAAGACGGATGTCTATAAACCTATTCAACGTGTGACAACTCAGCCGGTATTTCGTCGCCTACAGCCCAGCTTTCCCTAGTGACCGATAGAGGCGCTGCTATCGATGTCCGCCCGTGCCGCCTAACGTGGGAATACTTCGACTGTGAGGGCGCCAAGAGCGTTTTCAAGGTACGTTTCCCTTGTACTACATGCGCCTTTGAAGCTGCATTTCTTACTCATTATGCTACCGTTTGTCTGGCCAATTCGGTCAAGTAATCTTTAGCATGTCTTTGCATAAGTGTGCTGCCTATTTGAAATTTATACAGCACGTTGAAAAGTTATGGGCCTGCAAATGAAAGTATGGCTGGCTGGGGTACCTAATGCCGAAAACGTGCGATTACGCACTTGTTAAAAGCACGCTACGTGGACTTTACTGCTGTAGAATAGCAACGCGTATTTTTAGTCACACAAATTACACTTTCAACCGACACAACGGCCTGTTACCTATAAGGAATAATTTACCTGGCATTTTCTTATTATATCACACAATTATAACTTCCAGTGTGCACCGCATCCTCAAGCTCTTAAAACGCGTGTCAGCTTTGATGAATTCTGGATAAAGTTTGAGATAAACTGGCAAAACATCAATGTCGGCATTCCCCGTAGATCATTTATCCCATTTTCGGCTTTCCCCGCAGTCCGGGGCAACGCCGAAAAAGTCACTTCTTTGATATTTTTAGTTTGTGCGCTTAAGGGTATGCGAATTCATCAAATGCGCCTGGTATGTTTGAAAGGCAAAAGACTGGCCTCTCGAATGACGCCAACAAGAATAGCTTATGTTGTCTACCTTGCGTGCTACGGGCGTCAGAAAAAAAGTCTTCGGCGTTCCCCCAACTTCCCCTATGTATTGGAAAGTCGCCCTTAAGGATTACGCTTACATCCTTTGCTTATGAGGTCGGTGGTTGGAAATTGGGAGGGGCTCGGCTATTTTCGACCACGGATATGGCTTTATCACATGATGAGGAACATGCTGATAAGCGTTTTATGTGTCATAACAGCACAAAAGTATTTTTAATCATTTTTCAAAAATAGCCATTCTGCCGTATCTTTCAGTGCAAGGTGCCGTCGGTCATCCCCGACGTTACGTCACGCCGGGGATTGCCAGATTTTCCTACTAGACTTCGACGCCCCCTGATAGTATCTAAGGCATAAATCAAGGAAAGCGTAAACCAAAAATGAGCCTGATGGGACTTGGCAGCCGGCGGTTAGAGCCTAAATTGTGAGCGAGCAATTATGCTGATAATTTTTACTTTGACCTGACCTGTGACGTCATCGGTGACTTCGAGGACAATGAAAATAGGTTTCCTCTGGCAGTTTTTCTAGGGCTGTCAGACACCGTTTGAATTTTAACGATCAGCCCAGTAGTTTCGGAGAAAGGAGGGTGGGGCGCCCCCTCCTTTCTCCGGACTGGGGGGGGTAGTTTCGGAGTGGGAGGCTCTACTGAGCCCCCCCCCCCCCAGTCACTCCGTTATGGAAAATACCCCAGATTGGTAAGATTGGGCCCAGGACCGTCAGCGGGGCGTGGGTTGTTGATGCAAAGTTGAGTGGTTGTTATTGAGCGGTAACGTTTCAGTCGTCGTAAAAAGCGTCACCGCCACGACGCCGAGTCCGCGGCTGCATTGGGTTGGTGGATATATACCTGTGTCTGATCCGCCGCCGCCGACCAGCGCCAACAGCGCCAGCAGAAGACGAGTTGTCCCCAGTGACGTCATCTCCCTCCCGGCGATCCGTCCCCAGTGACGTCACAGGGTCGGTGAATTCAGAGTCCCGGAGATGAGTCGCTCTCTGGTGGTGCTCTGGTGTTCAGATTCGCTGCACTGCTGCGCTGCCGCTGGCTTCGACGGGCCTCCGGACTGGTGACCTGTCGCACCAACTGCTCCTAGTTAACACTGAGCGCCCTCACTGTGGTGTGCCTAATTGGTGCTGGTGATTCTTCTGGTGCACGAGCAGCCCCCGCTCACTCGAAAAGACCACCTTCAGTTTCTCAGCCCTAACATTCAAAACAGGAGAAAATCGGTACGGGCTGTTTCCAAAGTCGGCAGCCTCACGGCGCCTGGACTGCCAGCCGGCCGGTCACCGAGTTCAATGTCAGCAGCTCTATCACACGCAGAAGCCCGCCACTCTAAACTGTCAGGATTTCCAGCGCTGCCCCCTTCGGCACGCGACAAGGAGCCCGCGCACACCGCCGCTGAGGGGAGACTGTGGCCGGGACGGCGCTACTGAGGGGAGACTGTGGCCGGGACGGCGCTACTGAGGGCAGACTGTGGCCGGGACGGCGCCGCTGAGGGGAGACTGTGGCCGGACCGGCGCCGCTGAGGGGAGACTGTGGCCGGGACGGCGCTACTGAGGGCAGACTGTGGCCGGGACGGCGCCGCTGATTAGATACTCCGCTGACGAACGGATTCAGAGCGTCTCTCAGAGAGGGCTGCGAGGGTGCTATCGCCGCTGATATCAGCGGGACGCTATCAGCGGCCACCGCGCCGGCAATCGCAGCACCATACGGCCGCGGTCGCAGCACCACACGGCCGCGGCACCCTTCCCGGCCCGGCGACGGAGCTAGCTCTCAGTTCAGACAGAGTGGTTTAGCCGTCTGTCGGCAGTGGCCCGGCGACGATAGTTCAAAGTGGTATAGCTAACGCTATCTATCGGACAGTAGCACCCTTCCCGGGCCGGCGATGTTCAGGGCTCCCTGTTCAGAGCCGTGCTGCTATCGACCTCCCCCCCCCCCCCCCCCCCCCACTGACCGTAGTGATAGTCACCAGGGCGGTGTTCACGGCAGAGCGCTGCGCGCGTCGGTGCGTTGGGTTTACATGGCAATATCAACAAACTCCACTCTGACGCTACGCTATGAAGTCATCGTAAAACGCTAGCACCCCAGCGCCAGCACCATCAGCACGCGACCAGCATTCGCACTCAAACCTCTGTTCTCTCTGTAATTGGTTCCTAAGGACCTCTGTTCCAAACGTGATTCATCATAAGCTAACGGATCGCACGCAACGTCATTCGACTTACGCCAGGGGTATGCCTCAGCTCCCAGCGCGCTGCAGCGCGCGCAGCGTCGGGCGGTGAAACAGGGCCCAGGTGATCAGCTGGTCACTGATGTGCAGGATAGCAGCCGAAGCAACTGGACTGTTATTTGCACAGTTGGAGTGGGTTCAGGCCCCCTTGGACGGGTTAGTAATTTCCACAGTTGGAGTGGAGGCTGGAGCCAGATCTCCTGGAGATGGGGTGAAAATTTATATATTAACCCTCGCCGGCACAGGCCATTTTGCGTCCTTCGACGGCACAAGTGCCGGCGAGGGTTGACCCGCGCCCCGCTGGGGGGGCAGAATCTACCCCCCCCTCCCGTTTTTCGCCAATAACTTCTAAACGCGTTACGCCAGCGACGTCAAACTTTCAGTACCTTATCATACATTAATTTGACACGTTCCCTGAAAATTTGAGCGAAATCTGTCCGAAATTTTTTGAGAAATTGACGTTTTTGTGACGTCATGTTCGCCATTTTCGCCTCAAAAAACGGCAAAATTTCAAACGCCGCTAACATCTTCATTTTTAAAGGAATCAAGACGTAACAAAAAAGGTTATACGTGATTCTACTTTGTCTATCAAATAGCTAACTCGGTTTTTTGAAAAAATTGGATTTTGGCCCATTTTTTTTTTAACTGACTTTTTGGGAAAATATTGATAAAATCCAAAAATTTTAGTGTATCGAAAAAAAAACGGAATATAAGTCAGAGAAGTAGTCTATGTGCACCTACATACCAATTTTTAGAAGAATCGGTTCAAAAATGTGGAAGTTACTCAAAATTTTATGACGTCACGACACTCAAAAAAATTGAAAAATGATTTTTTTTTTTTGGAAGTTTTAGACCTCGTACGGAAACAAAATAGCACCATTCGATTCGCCGTGAAAAACTGCATCGGATAGACACCTTTTTAGGCCTTAACAACCAACTTCAAAATTTGACCTCACTTGACCTGACCTTGACCTGACCTCGACCTGAAATTCATCCAGAGGTGGTCCATATCACTTATTGAGTGTGCCTATTGAATTCTATGAGTAAAGTGACCCATAAAACATATGTCGCACATGCCCTTTTCTATATTTTGTTTTTGGTGACCTGACCTGACCTGACCTGACCTGACCTTGACCTTGACCTTTGAATGACATTGCATGCAACGAATATTGTCTTGGTAGTCTAAGAATACGTTTTGGGCAATCAGCCTCAGTCCATTCTTCGGCAACTACGGTGCAAGGCCGATACTGTAGAAACTTGCATTTTGTACCCTTGACCTGACCTTGACCTGACCTCTGACCTACTTAAGCAAAAAAAATTGGGCTCTTTAGATCCGTCTTGTTGAGAACTTTCGATTGCCGTTTTCCCCGTCTTTCTACGACCATCGCTTTGGAGGTTAGACAGGGGGGGGTCAGAATCTGCCCCCCCCCCCCCAGCAGGGCGCGTATGGCTGAATAGCCCAGCGGGGCGCGGGTTAACCCTCGCCGGCCGAGGGGGGGGGGGCGGGTGCCGCCCCCCCCCCCCATAGGGTTTTTTTCGCGATAGCTCCGAACACGCTGGTGATAGAGAGCTGAAACTTGGCATACCTGACCTTTGATTCAAGCCAGATCTTTTGACACCAACCGCGTTTTTGGGTCAGGTCAGGTCACTGACCTATGAGGTCATAAGTGAACCTCTGCACGGTCTTCAGATGTCGCAATTTCGCAACGCCCTCACTGCCAGAGGAGATGTCACAGGGAAATGAAACTTGCAGGATCTAGTATCCATTATGAGTCCCACAACTTGTATATCTCGGATTTTTCCTAAAGGTCATATGAGGTCAGGTCATTTTCGTGACCTCACCATTATAAGTCAAGGGGGAAAAATGAAAACTGCTATTCTGGCGCCGGGAACGATCTCCAACAATCTCAAGCACACAGAATCGTGATTTGATGCACTCCTTGCTAGGTTAGATGTGTAATTGCAATGTTGACCTTGCGTGACGTCATTTATGACGTCATCAAGGTTAGGTGAGTTTTTCGTCAATAACTCCCGATCAAATTAAGCTAGCGAGTCAGGAAAGCCACCAATGGACTCAGGAAGACCTGCCGAATCGAATGATATGCAACATGACCTCTTTCGACCAGCTTCGTGACCTGGGGGTGCTGACCTGACCGTGACCTGACGTCAACACCCTAAGTTGACCTGACCCAAACAAAAAGTATATCATTTGACGCGCCTGAGCGAGGCGAAGACGATGCTGCCAAAGTTGCAGCTTTGCGGCCGTTTTTTTGGCGAAGTTATTCACCAAAAACTGAACCGTACCTTAGCCCGCGCGGGGCTGGGGTCTCCAGCCGAACGCGCGGGGCTTGGGGGGAGGAAATTTTACCCCCCCCCCTGTTATCTCCCGAACTAATGGTCCGATTTGGAAAATTCGAAGGCCAATTGAAAGATCTCATCACGAACAACTAAAAACATGTACTTAATTTAAAGTTTTAGGTCAAGGTCAAGGTCAGGTCAAGGGTACAAATTGCAAGTCTCTACAGTATCGGCCTTGCACCGTAGTTGCCGAAGAATGGAATCATGGACTGAGACTGATTGCCCAAAACGTGTTCTTAGGCTACCAAGACAATATTCGTTGCCTACAATATCATTCAGAGGTCAAGGTCAAGGTCAGGTCAGGTCAGGTCAGGTCACCAAAAACAAAATATAGAAAAGGGCACGTGCGACACATGTTTTATGGGTCATTTTACTCATAGAATTCAATAGGCACATTCATTAAGTGATATGGACCACCTCTGGATGAATTTCAGGTCGAGGTCAGGTCAAGGTCAGGTCAAGTGAGGTCAAATTTTGAAGTTGGTTGTTAAGGCCTAAAAAGGTGTCTATCTGATGCAGTTTTTCACGGCAAATCGAATGGTGCTATTTTTGTTTCCGTACGAGGTCTAGAACTTCCAAAAAGTTCATATTTCCAATTTTTTGTGTGTCGTGACGTCATAAAATTTTGAATAACTCCCACATTTTTGAACCGATTCTTCTAATAATTGGTATGTAGGTGCACATAGACCACTTCTCTGACATATATTCCGTTTTTTTTCGATACACTGAAAATTTTGGATTTTATAACTATTTTCCCAAAAAAAGTCAGTTTTTTTTTAAACAATTGGGCTGAAATCTAAAATGTTAAAAACGAGATAGCCATTTGATAGACAAAGTAAAAAGACGTATAACCTTTTTTGTTACGTCTTGATTCCTTTAGAAATGAAGATGTTAGCGGCGTTTGAAATTTTGCCGTTTTTGAGGCGAAACGTTAGGCGGCACGGGTGGACATCGATAGCAGCGCCTCTATCGGTCACTAGGGAAAGCTGGGCTGTAGGCGACGAAATACCGGCTGAGTTGTCACACGTTGAATAGGTTTATAGATATCCGTCTTAAGAAAAAGTTGAACTTTTGCCTTCAATATTTCTACAGGCAATTTTAGAAGTGTCTTCACATAGGTTACAAAACCGTTTAGATTATTGTATTCACTTCAAGCCTTCCCTATTGTTCTTGACCATCATGCGGGAACTATTTCTAATTAGTGTTTCTAGCTTAGTAAGAGAACATATTGTGCAAACGATGAAAAAAGCATCAATGGAAGATTTTAAATGCAATTTTATCTAACAATTAATGGTAAATTCTCTACATATCAAGGAAAAGGTGCATGCTAACTGATAATTTAAAGTTCTTGGGGCCAGTTGTTTTCTTCTTTTCTTACGTCGCCCCAATGGCCGCGAATACACTTGTGATAACGCCTATCGAATGGCGAACATGACGTCACTAAAACGTCAATTTCTCAAAACTTTTCCGACGGATTTCGCTCAAATTTTCAGAGAACGTGTCAAATTGATGTAAGAAAAGGTACTGAAAGTTTGGCGGCGCTGCGCGCCGCCGTTTTTGAGTTATTGCCAAAATTCGCGAGGGGGGGGGGTAAAATTTACCCCCCAGCCCCGCGCGGTTTAGGGCACTTGACGTGACCTCAGGGGTCACCGGTTGACCAAGGACCTTAAAATCGGGCATCAATATCTGCGTCTCGTAGCGGCGCACATGCTCATTTTTCCGTGACGCGCTAGCTCCACCACGGGCGAAACGGCGAGGGGGGCCGGGGTAGTACCAGCCCCCCCCCCCCCCCTCGGCCGGCGTGTATGTAGAAAACCAATAGGTACCTAGGTCCGGCGAGGGTTAAGACCTGTCGTTTGGTAGGTACCACTTTTGTTTACGAAACTTTTGTTAACACTTTTGTTATTTCAACGGAGCTGGACGGGGAGGGGGGT